TCCATTTCAGTTTACTAGACAATATGGCTTAATCGACTAATCTATTCTAAATAATGATGAAATGAAACAACAAGTTATCTATATTTTAGAAATAAAGATGGTACGTTAATATATTCACCTTTGTGATTCCGATAGCACCTATGTTATGACTGTAAGAAGTGGTAGCATGTCCAGCACCAACCATACCGGAAATAATACTGGCAAAACCCTCCATAGCTATTCCGCGGTTAACTGCATGAGGGGGAGGGGGAGGAACTCCCGACATCCGGGCTGCTGCATGATAATCGCAAACCGATTCAAGAACCGAAACCAAAGTCACGATCAGAAACCCGACATAACCAACAGAACTTACAGTCGGTATACCAAACTGGACTGTAATTAGAAAACATTTGTATAGCTGCTTCAAAATTATGTACAATATCTTAACAAATTTTGAATCTTGTGAATGGTTCCGATTTCTTATTTTAAACATTGCTGTAAGAATACACAGTTTAAGGAAAAGCCCCAAAATTATTGATTTCTGCACGTTGAAGTAATTGAAGGCAACTGTGTATTTGTGATTCTCGTTTATTTTGCGGTTAATTACTTGTGTTATTACAAAATTCTGGAAACAAAGTGATCCCTCGGAAGCATTAATCACAACAAAATAACATAAGAATTGCAGACTCGGTTTGATTGAGTCTGTACATGAGGGATAATGAATAAGTGCAACATCCCTCACGCCCCCTAGCACCGGCTTGAGCGGTACTCAATTCTCAACACTTTATAGTGTTGGCATCAATGATCCCGAAGGACCAGAAAATATAACAACACTGAAGTGAAGTACGGGGCAACTTTTTACGGCTGCCACCACGGCACTTGACACCTGCTGTTGTGAAGTACAAAATTCTGGAAACAAAGTGATCCCTCGGAAGCATTAATCACAACAAAATAACATAAGAATTGCAGACTCGGTTTGATTGAGTCTGTACATGAGGGATAATGAATAAGTGCAACATCCCTCACGCCCCCTAGCACCGGCTTGAGCGGTACTCAATTCTCAACACTTTATAGTGTTGGCATCAATGATCCCGAAGGACCAGAAAATATAACAACACTGAAGTGAAGTACGGGGCAACCTTTTACGGCTGCCACACGGCACTTGACACCTACAAGTTCATTGTAAACTTTAACTTTTGCAGTGACAATTGTGAATGTTTTATAGCTTTTCTTACTTACAAGGATATGGCCAATAAAACCAAGGTGCGCGGTGTACAGCATCAAGTTTAGCATCTGTCCGAACCATGTAATTAACGTCCGTAATATTGTCTGCAAACACATCCGATACGGTCAGTGTATAGCAGAAGAACCATCCAATTCCTAAACTTAGTAATACCTGAAACACGAACATTTAAAAATGTAATACTTTTGTAACAATTCCTTGTACTACATATGAAGGTGGTATAAGATCTTGTGTGTTAACTGTGTTTCACAATGGACAAATATTATTCGTAGACTTACAAATATGGTTTGTCATGTAAAGTCTTTTCTGTGTGATACAGGCTTTGATTCCCTATGACAATTCCATTTTATTCGCCAAGCCATTTTTTCTAGTTTAGAGCAAACACATTCTTTTACTAGTGGACCATGCGCCGCTTTTCATGGAGTGGCACGTATGTGTCACACTGAACGCTCAATGTTAATCAGCATATATCTGCGGACTTTTTATTCAAATTTTGAATTTTGAATGTTCATGACTTAATGTTAGATTCTGTTTAAGACAGTGCTTGGGGACATAGACGGTGGTTTGCATTTACAACTACCGTCCATGAACAGGCTCAATAAAACCGAACTTTTTTTCAATTTTGCTGTTTTAGGCGTTCTTAAAGGTTTCTTTTTTCGACTATTTATTATTTTATCAGATGGTGTAAATATATATATATACATATATACAAGACGATGGTCATGTGGTTGCAAGAAAAAATATCAGAAAGTTATTGATGCGTTTACCGAAAACAACTGAAATATTGGGAATTTTGTTATATGACAATGGCGGTCAATGGTCCATGCCGGAAAGGGTGGTTTTAAGTTGGCAAGGTATCCGCTGAAAAGTAGTGTTAAACCCATGGCCCTGTAAAGAGAAAGGCAATAATTCAAAACAAGAATTAATTTTAGGGTCTCAGTTTTACTGTATAGTATTTTAGTTTTAATATAGATTGTACGTCAACTCACTATTTCATGTCAGATACTGAAGAAATTTTGAAGGCTACAATACTGACTTTATCATTTTTATTACTATCAACAAAGACAGATAGGTATCTACAATTATTTAACAGTTAACATACATTTCATTTCTAAAACTTATCTTTTTATATTATAGAATCACTTCGAACAACACATAATGTTTAACATTAATAATTTCAATTACAACACCACTACTTGTCAGCATCATAAAAAGTTTTAAGCCTAATGAATAATAAAACAAAGTCACATGATAATATTGGGTAAAGTCAAGCTTATTTAATTAATTAAAGACTGATACCACATTCACTTACAGAAATGCCACGCCCCAGTGTTTGTTGTTCAGATCTATCAGAACACCAATAAGTACTGGACCAATGAGGGTGATTGTTGGAGCTATTGTGAGTGGGCCCACAAATCTCAGTAAGATGCCAATTATACCCGTACACCCCAGTATAACTTGAGTGATAGAAGCGACGATAAGATTACCCTGGATCTGCAAAAGGATATCTGTTATATAAGGCTTGTTAATTACACTATAACATGTAATAGAAAGAGCACCGAAACACGAGGTTATCTGATTTGTACGAGGGGGCGTAGCCCCCGAGTATTAATCAGATTACCGAGTGTTTTGGTGTTCCTTCTCTTTTGTATCATAGTCAAACATAAAAACATGTTCCCTGTTGTTACAATATGAAACCCCGGCAAAAATGAACCAATGAACGAGCATCTAAATATGACATTTCTGTCGATTTCACTTTCACTGCCGTCACAATATGTAAACCCCAGCAAAAATGAACCAATCAATGGGCATGCTCTGGAGTGCGGGTAACTAATACCCGCACTCCAGTTAACGCACTGTGCATGTATATGTATACGATTTAACCCTGACACATTTTCAACAGAAAGGTCTCCAAACTATGATACAATTGTTGAATGTAACACTATTAGCTGTTTAATACCATTTGTGCTTAGTTACGTCAATCCAGTACAAGAAATTAAATGGCTAAGAGTCAAAACTAATTATTAGTTTACAATTTGCGTCAGTGTTACTCGATACAAAGGGTAAAGTTTAATTGGGAATTATATATTGGTCATTTTGTTGTAATTAAGACAAGTTAATGAGCGGATACTAGAAGATATGTCAGCGTAATCGTAGACGACTTAAAAACATGAAGTTAATGAATCCGATCAGTGATACAGAATATCATTACATGTCAATATGATGAAATCGTTGAAAAAGAAAATGAAAATAACGATGCGAGAGGACGTATCATAAACGGAAACTGCCGGGGATTGCAGAATTTATGAAATATTAATGAAATGCTGGAAAAATTCTGAAAGTATACCAAATAAATGTTAAAATTTACAGTGCATAATTTTGTCAAACACGAAAATATTGTACAAGAAACAAATTATAAACTCTCAACCGTATAAAACATACCAATTCTGTAATATTTTCAATTTTGTCGTTTTGTGCGTTCTTAAAGGAATCCGATTTTCTTTTTTATTGCCACATCAGTGTTATTTGTGGTGTGTATAGACCGTAAGAGTTTACCCCTACATATAATCAAACATATTATATTGACGATCCTTCAAGATCATTTGGCTCACCATTATGGTGTGTGTACATATTTGTGGTATTTTTAATTCCTTCTATTTGACCTTTTTTCTAATTGGTTGTTTCCAGTATTCCTACTTGAATACTGTACAATCACCCTTAAGATATGGTGCCTGCTATCTTAATTTGTCATTTGATGTCATATTTGTGATATGCAGGCTTCATATTCACAATCGATTCTATTTTTTTTAGTTTTCTCATTAAGCGCATTCGCTTTCTCTTACTTGGTGACATACACCGCTTTTCATGGAATGTCACATTGAAGGTTCCATGATAATCGCCGTATGAACACATCTGCGGATGTTTCTTAATTCAAAATTTCAGAATTTTCATGTTTAAATGTTGAATTCTGCTTAAGCCGGTGCTAAGGGGTTTGGACGGTAACCTGCACTTTCCAGTACCGTCCATGAACAGGCTCTTTCAAACCGAGCCTGCTACTTTTTCAGTTCTGTCGTTGTGGGCATTCTTTAGGAATTCCGTTTCCTCTATTCTATTCGCAAATAAATTCATGAATTTTAGCATTGAAATAAAACCAAAACAATAAAAAGACAATTCGAAATTCCTAACAGAGAATGTGAATGACACTAAAATACATCTTCATGTAAATATTAATGCATACAAGATATTCATATCATTTCTTATATATTTGTATACTTATTTATGACGGTTACTTCTCTCATTCTAAGCTGCCAGACTTCATCTTCGTCTCCGGTAATTGTGCTGTTCTGGAGACTTCTGTCTTCTATAAGAAAATTAGGACATATTTGTATATTGGAACGAATGTTACACGTTGAACATTAAGGTAAAAAAATAAATCCATGGCTTTCTATATCGATTTATACAGTTAAAAAGTATCTTGCTTTCGTCCTTTCTCTTTTTTTACCAATCAATATAAATACAAAATGTAAGAAAAACTGTATACCTGAATTAGGACACTTCCATCTGTCTGAAGACATCATTGCAACGATTGGTAAAATGTATAAATTTGAACCTCCTTGCACAATGCCCAATCTAATGGAAAAAACCAATACCAATTAAATATTAAAACAAGTAAAATAAACAAGTACAAAAACAATAAACAACAAGACTCTAATTATACAAATAAATATAGGATATTTGTTTGTTTTGAGTGATAATGTAAGAATCGTTAAAAGCCTGAACAAATTGAAAATGACGTTCAGTCGGAACATCTCGGCTATAATTCATAATAACGTAAGACTTAATACGAATTGAAAGTAGTTCGACCACGTGATTTGACATGTTAACAAAACAGAGAGTGTAATCTTTGATAATGTATTACGAATATATTATATATTTGACATCAAAGTCTATTTCGGTTAAATGCTGATTGAATTAAGTGAATTAAAACATTTTAATATTCTTTTTTCCAGGGAAACCTAAATATTAAACTATTTATATTGTTTTTATTTTGATAAGTTATACCGGTATATCATTTTCACATGTACTTTCATACCATATAACTCAGTCTTTGGTAAAATGATGACACAATTTTTGAACAATTAAATAGAATAAACGAAACCTCTATGCAAAATGCAAAGAAAGTTTGCAAAGAAAAAAATCTGAAATGAAGCCCTAACTTATACCTGATACCAAATAATGTCTGAAGAATTGTTGCCACACCACACATGAACAGAGTTATACTCATCAGCTTGGCTGTGACGTCATAGTTCCCTTCGGCACAGATATATTCTGGTATTAGGTATGGCAAAGATAAAGTCCCTCCAATGCACATTATAGCTTGCTGAAATTTACATAGATGCTAAAGATACCAACACCAGGAAATAGAGAAATACAAGATCCCTAAATAAAGCCCAACACGACAAAATTGAAAATGTTGCAGGCTCCGTTTGATTGAGCCTGTTCATGGACGGTAATGGCAAGTGCAAGTTACCGTCCACGCCCCCTTGCACCGGCTTCAGCAGAATTCAACATTTAACACGAAAATGGTGAAATTTTGAATTTAGAAACATCCGCGGATGTGTTCATACGGCGGTTGTCATGGAACCTTCAATGTGACACAGAAGTGCCATTCCATTAAAAGCGGCGTATGGTCCCCATGTAAAGTGTAAGTCAAAAGTGTTTTTTTTATTCAGTCTCAAAAATCAATTATTAAATGTACTTCAAGAGTGAGAGATACTTTTTATAGCTTGCTAAAAGTTAAAATAATACTTAAACCAGTTTGTGTTATTTTACCAGTTTAACAACTGAGTACTGTATTTTACTGTCAACGGCTAAGCTGATCACTATTTTAACTTGCATTAAATTGTTTTTGACAAAGACACTTATTTGCTTAATGTCAGTAGGATAAAGGTATTAATAGCTTGTGATGAATCTACAGTTTGGCTATGCCTTGTTGAAGAATACAAAATTAGAAAATTAAGATAAAATGTTTTCAATTTTGTTACCATTTATCAACTGAACCGTAATGAAGATGATATTTAATAGTAACGTGCATATATGCATCAGTTAAATTAACAATTTACGGTATGTAATTTCGATCGGATGTTGTTGTTTTTCACGCACATGCGCAGTCTGCATAGGGCAAAATGATCATTTATCTATACAGAAAAATACTTGTTTGTTGACGTTCATAGGCGATTCCACTTAAATTCATTAAAAAAAAGTATTTAATTTTGTCAAACAGTATATCTTTAAACTAAAAGGTAAGAAGAAGATATTGCCCAAGGCAACCTAAAAAGACATGAAAAAAAATTAGGATAAATGTTTCAGACATTCAATTTGAGGTTCCACAAGACTTTAAAATCATTAAGACAATTTTTGTAAAGAAAAATCAAAATTCATTTTTAAGCAAGAAGAAAGTTACAATGACATTCAAAAATCATATTGAAATTATTTTAAAAAAAAAACAAGTTAAAAATTACACAGCTCACCTGGAATATGAGGAGGAAGTACTTACAACGATGATAAAAATCTTTATTCTAAAAAGGACAAACTATTTTATAATACATGTCCATAAATATGTGCTGCAGTTTAGCTGATTTGATCTTATGTCTGTCTTTTCAGAATTATTCTATCCACACGCATGGTTTAAGTAATTTAAGATATCTTAAGCTATTAAAACATTTCAAGGTAGTGTAATAGCACAATTTATATTCATTCTTTTTCAGAATATATAAAAAAATACATACTGCATTACTACTACATTTTGGGACATTTGACACATTTAATTTCAACAACTTATAATATGTAATTAGAACTTAAATTTTATTTATTTCCAATTGATCTACATGTGGACAATGTACCCACAACACGACAGTGTAATTTATACATATTGCCAAGATTATTGTGCATATACTACAATGTTTCATCAATTTCTCACATGTAATGGACATCAAACATGTTGTCAAAGTTCGGATTAAACTGTTTCTGCCATCCATAATAAAGCCATGAGATTTTAGGGTATTGGGAAATTATTGGCGACTGCTGCACTAGTAAATTAAATGATCTTGTAGCCTCCTTTTGTCCGCCAGTGGAAGTCTGTAATTACCTTAGGCTTGTTTGATCAATACGGACTCACCAAGCATGCAATAAGAGGATTGCACTTTGGGCCAATCGTTAAGTAAAGGATAATTTTAAAACCTTGTATTTCCGAGTTAAGTCAAACTATCTCAATCTGCTCTTTACCATTTCTGTAATATTTCTAAGTTTGTAACGAAACGTTTTAATGTTAACACTGCAGCAACGCTTTTAATAAGATATGCACTAGAGTGGACACTGACAAATACTAGTGGGTGGTTCAAACATAGAACAAAGAACATACTGCACTTTTAACTCATTTATTTGTGTGTTGAGCATTATTTTATTATTATGTTAATTCCTCCTTTGCCATGTTCTGGTAATTTAAAGGCGCTGTGGTGAAGACTTGAAACTTTAAAATATGCAAACTTAAGTGAAGAAGGTAAACGTTAATATCCATTTTGTGGTGTTAATATTGAGTCAGAACTTCACGTTATTCTTCATTACTCTTTATATCATGATCTTTTATCTAAAAAGGCAACAGCCATCGAACCAGAACCAGGGTGAAAGTGGTTTAAGTCCAACCTTTTTTGTTATTATGATTATTATTTAGGATATAAAATGCTCCTACTATTATATTACGAAATTCTTACACATTTCTTGCATTATTGGCATATTTTTCTAAATTGTCAATATTTATTATAAAACGTTATATAAATTAACGCATTTAGGTCTCTTGTAATTCTATAAAGAATGGCCAAATACGTGTATATGCTGTTAGATTGAGATATGTTTTATGTTGTATTTCCTTTTATATCATGTGTAAAGATAAGACAGAAAGTAACTTTCTTAAAATACCATAAATAAGACAGAATAATTATAATGATAACTTCCTCTTAGGGAATAGTAAATATATGGCGCATATAGATATTGCCTACCTGACAATATGCAGATGGCATATAGTGTATCTAAACATCATATATCATACGAATGGGTTAAGAAAAAAAACTCATTTACATCGAAACACTCACTTTATTTTAATAACAAAATCTTTACTTTACTTCAATTACACAAGAAATTATTTCTTGTTAAATTCAAAAACAAATTCAGATGTTCTTTTTGTATATATTTTTGTGCTTACTCACTTATAGGAAGATATTTTTAATGCTTTCAAATATTTAACTTTACATGAAAGTAATTACATGTATGTCAAAATCGAATGCACAGAATGTTTAACAAAAGTCCCAAAATAATTTCTTCTCCTGTGCCCTGGACTGCACCTTCACTTAATGATCAACATTATTTTTTGTCCAATCACATTGTAGTATTTTTCAAATTTATGCTAAGTCTAACTTTGGTTAATGTGTACTAACTAAATAAAATTTACTTAATCTGTCGTCTTACCAGTCTAACAAATTTCAATAGTGCATTATGTATAGGTTAGTGTTTAATAATATGTATTAACAAAAATAATTGGTCAAGCCTGCCGCAGGCAGGCGACCAATTATTTTTGTTAATGCATATTATTAAACATTAACCTATTTAATGATTTAATGATTGCATTGTTTTCCTCGCTGTTATTTTTCCAGATATTTTATAGAAACATGATAGTCTTATTGTAGATAAAGGTATAACTTCTGTGACATTTCAGTAAAAAAAATGTGCCTAATTATATGTTGAAAGGGCCATTTATTTAGCTTATCCAAATGTGACATGTTAGAAACTTGACAAGGTGTAGACATCTTGTAGAGCGAAAGGGTGGAGCTATCGGTGATTTAGAGAAATGCCTTGTTTTTGGTTGAAAAAAAATCGATCATTAAATAGGTTAATGTTTAATAATACACATTAACAAAAATAATCGGTCGCCAGCGGCAGGCTTGACCAATTATTGTTGTTAATATGTATTATTAAACACTAACCTATACATGTCAGCATATCCTAACTATCAAATCAGATTGTTTACCCTGACAAAATTAATTCTTCCAATTATTACATCTACTAGTATCTCGCTTTTTTCCCTGAGCTGAACGCGCTTACGTGAATTATAATTCCATCGCTGATAAATGGAGTACTGTTAAAAGCTTGATATAATTAAAGCAATCACGAAACGTAAGAAATTCACACGTATGTGTCACAGACACAACGTCTATAACGTTGGAATTTGATTTTTTTTTCAAAACGGCTTATATTAAGTTTTTTATATATATGATCAGTACATGTGCTGGGATTGACAAATATACATTTTATTTGAATTTTTAAGGCGTTTTAAGCTCCACACCCCAAGTGTCTGTGGTATGTGTAACTTCTACATATGTATATATGTTCATGTTTGTATTTACAATTTTGTGATTTGCTCGGCCGAGTTGTTATTTTTTCAATGACGAGACTGTAGTAATCCGAATATGTGCGCATTAGCATACGTTGCACTACATGTAAACATTGTTGTTACTATAATTAATCACTGACGTAAACAATGATGGCAATGTATTCCTTAAAAGCATGACGCAAAATTTAATTGCACTATAAGCAATCAATACAGGTAAGCTCATTTTTATGATAAGATTATGCCTGAGAAAATATATTCACAGTACCATCATTTAATTACAAATAAACAAAGGTGATCTACATTATTCCTGAAAAAATGTTACCACAGTACAAGCGAGGGCAATCCTAAATTCAACCTCTCAAGACAAAATGTTGCGTATATCTAAAAGTAAGAGTAACTGCAGTGAATGAAAACCCAAAATCTTACCTGTAAGCCAAAGATAAAACACACCGGAGGGGAAGGAACGTCTTCAACACCGTATAGAACATACTTCGTTTCCTCAACGTCAACTTCCGGCGTGCCGTCTGTGTTTTTCTTTCAGAAAACCATTTTTATTTCACAATGAAAACCTGATTTTTGACAAAAGAACATTTATTCGTCCTTTATCGTATAAATTGATTATTTTTTTTGTCTCTTTTTTTTTTATCTTAATAACTTTTCAAAAAGACGATGTAAAATAAGGGAATACATTTCATTTTTTAAACCCTTTTAATGTAGCCTTTTTTTTGTTCAGAATACGTAATTTTTCATCATACCCAGTTAAATTAAAAAATGGCTAACGGATGTTTATTATTCTTTTTCGGTGTTTGGTCTGACCAGCTCCAACTTAATTACCTGTACTATACGCAGTCTGAACTTAAAATTGTGTTTTTAAATGTCATTTTATTATGTTTATTTTTTTACACTATATATACTGATTGAAGCATACCAAAGTGGACATATCTATCTTCTCTCAGAGAAACGCGGCGAAACGGGCGTGTTTATGGTTGAAATTGATTAAACTTGGGATTTGATAAACTCTATGAAATAAAAAATTTAGATAAATAACAGTTAAGAAATTATTTCCATTGTAAATTCGGGGCGTTTCCTTACGATTTGGATTAAACTTATTTTAAGGTGTAGATATAGGAAAGTTTAAATTCATTTTACTGTTATATGATATACTGATAGTTTCTTAAACCAGATTGGGACTTCAAAAAGGTCTTGACATTTTTAAAGAATAAAGCGAAATGGAGACTTACCGTTTACTCTAGTAAAACAAAAATAATGACATTAAAAAAGGTAGCAGAAATAGAACGATTTAAATTTTCAAGTATGATGGAACAGACTTAGAAACTGTTCACAGGTTTTTGTGTATTGTCTTTTTCTACAGGAACGTTATTTATTCAAACATATGATGCGTTAGCTGGCCAAACACTTAAATCAACACATGTATATAAACTTTATAACTGTATATGCAGAAATTCACAGATCTTCAAATGAGACATGAGACACGTTTTAGACCTTTTTATAAACTGATCTTTCCAAATCTAAATTACAATTGTGAAATCTGGGGTTTTGCTAAAGTAAAGAAGCTTAGAAACATTTATGTTCATTTTTTGTAAATTATTACTAGGTGTAAGACTACAGAACCGGAACTCCTTTATTTATAGTGAATTAGACAGAACAACGCTTAGAAATACATGCTTAGTATGAATAATTAATTATTTGTTCAAAATAATAAGAATGGATGATAGTAATGTGTTTAGAAAATTTATACTATGATGCTTAATGACATACAAAATAAACTAAACAAAAATCTTTAAAGTGTTTGTATTTCTACCATGTTTTGCTAATGTAGGGTGTAGGTAACGAAACAATTTTTATTAATTTGTTTAAGCAAGACTTAATAAAAGATATCTTTTTGCAAGACCTTAATAGTTTAATTGAAAACTCAATACGGGCATCTTCTTACAGGTTATTTTCAGAGTTTGGTTTTAAAGAATACTTATAAAGGATTCATGTGACTAAATTAATAGTGGCTGTATAAGTTTATGGTTGCTGAAGAAAGTCAGCGTTTGCAATATTGGTCTTTGGTTTCTATGGAAAGTCATTGCTTGCCATGCAAAGTACTGGTTGTTATGTAAGTCAATGGTTGCTATGGAAGTCACGGGTTGCTACGGAAGTCATTGGTTGCCATGGAAAGGCACTGGTTTCCATGGAATGTCAATGGTTGCTGCAGAATGTCACCGGTTGCTATGGAAGTCTATGGTCTTTTACTATGTACATATAAGTAGAATCTATGACCCCCCTTGGGCTGGACCAATTTTGTCCAAAGTGCAATAATATGAACACTTTTTGTAGAGGTCCACCAGACCAGTACATACCAAATATCTTAGCTAAAGCATTTATAGTATAAAAGAAGAAGATTTTGATTTTGTTTTTACTATTTTTCCTACAAAGAAAATCAATGTTCCCTTGGGGCGGGGCCAATTTTGAACAATTTTGTATAGATCTACCAGACAATGTTTCATGCCAAATAACTTAGCTAAAGCCTATAACATAACACATGTTTTTCCTGTTTATACTATAAACATTTATAGCAGGCTAAATTTTGACCCAATGGCTTTTATTTGAACATACTTGATAGACATCTACTAGAAGATGTCCCATTCTTAATATCTAAGTTCTAGCTCTTTTGGGTTTTTTTAAAGAAAAAGTTGGGGTAAGTACTGCATTGAAAATAAGTTTTTGAAGAAGTTTAAAAAAACATTCCTATGTAGTTTGGCTGAAATTGGCTTAGTGGTTTATAAGTAGATGTCGTTTAAAGTAAAAAAAATTCGAACGAACGGACGGACGCCGGACGAATTGCGATCACAAAAGCTTACCTTAACAGTTACACATAGCTCAATAATAGATTGGGGGAAAAAACAACTATAAAAAGTACTTAGAATATACACACACAGTATAATGTTAAACATGTAATATGTATCAATCGGCAGAAAAAAAATATTCTATTGTGTTTGTAGTGTATGTATCCAGAAATTGTCTTTACATAAACGGTCAATATTATTTTCAATGATATCTATAAGCATAAATGTAAAGTCATTTAAAATATAATCATTCAAATTAAAATGTGATCTGACATTTGTGGAAGATGAGGGATCTGTAAAATTACATATATCAAATTTGTGACTATTCATACGTCTTAGTTTGCCCAATTTATTGCATTAACACTTTTTACGTAAGATCGTTTAACTACTGTATTTTAACTACTGATTTATTAACACTATAACTGTTGAAATATGGTATATACATGAACGTGAAGCATCTATTTCTATTTAGTGTGCATGTGAAGCTACTTAGACATTTGTGTACAAAAGTTCATAACTATGTCATGTACTTAAGCAAGATCATGTCCCCTTTGCGACTAAATATTTTTCAGGGTTTTTTTTTATTAATTTTGTTTCTCTTTTTGAACTAAAAATCCTGTTGTTTCTTTTAATATCAACCCACATAACCGATTGAGTATTGTTTTGAAACAAGTGAATTATAAATGTTCACTGAGGATAAATTCACAAAGTTTTATATATTGTACATGATTTGACATATGCATGTTGCAGCACATAACCAGGGCAAAACACGATTTTTATGCAAGGGCCTTAACTCGTCCAAAAATCCTTCAACCGGAAAACACTTGTTATATGCGCAAGTACTTGAGCTACCGATCAGTCCTGCAACATTTTATTGCAATTGCTTTAGTAATATAAGATGAGTAGTCCGGACAAATTCTAAAAGTAACTAGACATGATATTGATCATTCCTGTAAAGTTTTGATGAAATTGCACAAGTAGTTTCTGAGGGGTAGTCCAAATAAGCAACACAAAAACATCTTTTTTATCTAAGTGTCATAACTCGACCAAAAGTCATTGCAGCGGAAAACATGTGTAATATGCGCAAGTTTTTAAGCTACAATCAACCATGTAAAGTGTGAACTTGAATAAGTGGTATACGAGTAGTCCGGAAAAAAACTTTAAAAAAAATAATTAAAGGGCGATAACTCTGACAAAAATCACTAAACCGGTATGCACAACTAGACTTGGTACTAATCAATCCCGTCATGTTGCTGCAATTGCATAAGTAGTATTTAGGAGTAGTCTGGACACGTTTTGTGATGGCCGGACAGACAACAGGCTACAGAGAAGTGGTCCCTATATGTCGCCACAACTCAAAAATACGACGCTCTGTGGCACATAAATATCATAACAGAATTATTGTATTAATTTCATAGATAGCCATTCACATCTATTCTATTCAGTTATTTTCAACCAAAGTTGAAGTTGATCTGTTTCATAAAACAACATATATACATATCTGAATGACGTCTGAGAAGAGAATGTCAAGTGTCTTCTGAAAACTTAACTTCGAGAACACATTATTTTGCCATATTTTGTGACAATATAATTTTAAAAAATATAATAACTTCTGTACAATACGTTATTTTGTGAACACGTGTTAGACTTGCATGTCAGTCCGTCCAATATAGTTTTTTCCAGCTTTATGCGTACTCATACAGATATATTCCGATATTGTACAGCCTAATGTTAAATAATCTGTTATTATTAAACTTAACGATTGAAAATTAATGCAACACAATACCAATACATGATTCTGATGAAGCCACGGTGTCGATGTAGTTAGTGTGATAGTTAAAAATCAAATGATAAAAGAAAATGTCGCTTTTCATATTCAGTGGCGTTACTATTTACACGTCTTAACCTTATATTATTCAAACCCGAGGCCGCTAGGCGAAGGATTTAAATCTTTCATTAATATGATATGTAATTATATAATATTTTATAACTTTGTCTATCAATATTAACAAGTCTTCCTAAGATGAATTTACCATAAACCTGTATAGGGTTTCTATTAAACAGCTGACTCTAATGTCATTTTGCTTGCTGTGACATTCGGAGAAACCTGCTTTATTGTCGTAAGATGTTTGTAAAGGTTCATTATATCAATAATCACACATGCCCCTGGCAAAAGAAAGATGCTAGCCGCTGCAATATAACCAATAACTTTGCTCTCAAACCTTTCGTCAGAAGCGCACATTTTCTTCCTTACAGTTGCAGAGAGGTTGGTTTTGTTTACTCGTAACTTAGCAACAAGATATTTAACTCTTTCTTCTACAGTCAAATTTTCAAACATTGTTGAAGAACATGCATTGTTCTTTTGAATCATAACCTTACATTCCGTAGTCTCTACTGTACCTTGACTTGTAACAGGAGGTATCAATTCGATAAAAGTCGGGAATCGAGTTGAAGAAGTGAAAGTTTTATTATCATCTGTTCCTTTGATGGTTGCGGACTCACGTGCTATAGTTTCAGAAGATACTTTTTTGTTTGGTGTTTTGAAGTTTGTGACAGAAGATGATTTTTCGTCCTCGGGTGATTTGTCTTCTGCTATTTTAGAGTTTTCTTCATTTGCTGGAGATTTTTCTTCGGATGATATAATAGAGTTCTCGTTCTCAGATAATTTGTCTTCTGATATTTTAGAGTTTTCTTCATTTGCTGATGATTTTTCTTCGGATGATATAATAGAGTTTTCGTTCTCAGATAATTTGTCATCAGCTATTTTAGAGTTTTCTTCATTTGCTGATGATTTTTCTTCGGATGATATAATAGAGTTCTCGTTCTCAGATAATTTGTCTTTTTCATTTTCATTTGCTGCAGGAGATTTCTCTTTACATGATTTAGAGTTTTTGTCTTCATGTGATTTGTCTTCTGCTATTTTAGAGTTTTCTTCATTTGCTGATGATTTTTCCTCAGATAATTTGTCTTCTGCTTTTTTAGCGTTTTCATTTGCTGCAGGAGATTTCTCTTTACATGATTTAGAGTTTTTGTCTTCATGTGATTTGTCTTCCGATATTTTAGAATTTTCGTCGTCTGCAGAGGATTTCTTTTCGGACTATTTAGATTTTTCGTCTTCCGTTGATTTGTCGTCTAAAATTTTAGAGTTTTCATTGGCTGCAGAAGATTTTTCTTCGGATGATTTAGATCTTTTGTCAGCAGATTTATCGTCGATATACGAACTTTCTTCAGATGGTCTTGGACCATTGTCAAGACATTTTGCTTCGCAACAACCTATTTTGGAAAAGAGCATTATTATAAATTATTGTTAAAAAGCTTTCAAATGTTTTGCATAAATAAGATAATGATCTCAATGAGTTCTAATTCTCGTATCACTAATACCACTGTCATTTAGGAAGTGATAGAAACATATTTTTATCAAATAAAAAAGTATTTCGTCGCCTTTCATAAAAATACTGTTCATATTTAATGTTTGTATATTAGTATCATCCGCTTAGAAATCTCAACATGCCCGAATTAAATTTCATATTAGAGAGTTGATACACGTGTTCGTGCACTAACATGTGCAGAAGCATGATGGCGCATTTCAAACCCGAGGCCGCTGGGTGAAGGATTTAAAAAGTCCTAAGGGTTTTTGCACATTTGAATTCACCAAAAAGGTGCATTAGCGCTATTCTTGTATAAAAGTATACGTCTGATTCGGTAATTCAGCGCTTCGTTATTTGTTGTTGTATAAAAACCTCGGTTTCATCGTGCTTCCCATGTGCTGGTGCGATGTTATTTGACATTTAGCTTTTGAAAATGAAATCACAATGACAGTAAACTATTGTTTGGCACCCTGAGTCATGCGTATTAAATAAACATGCAACAATGGCGACGCATTATTGATTGATATTATTCTGCATACATGAACATATTCAACAAAATATTCAGACAACTTAAATGGTAGGGTCGGCCACTAGTAAATTATAGTAGTACGAGGGATGTCAGACCATTTGATATCAATGAATTGTTGAAGGGATGTTCGGAATTTTTTAGACAACTTGATAATAATTAATTATTTTGATACCTAAACTTGTCTGTTTTGTATACACTGTCCTCTGTATATTGATTAAAGACAACAACAGCTTTTTGTTTAGGCTTGCATGTCAACATTTGATAATTTTGATAGTGTAGATGATGTTGAAAAGATAAGGATACTTCTGAATGAGGAGGCCATTGTTATTGCTGTGCCAAAACCTGCTTTCAAATGTTAGAAAAGCGTCGTGATAGTTTGTATACTGGGTAATCTTAAACTGTAGTATTGTTTTATTGTACATTGTATATAAACATTGTTTTTGCATATGAACATTGTTTTATCTTGCTCTAGAAAACCTTGTTAATAATCCATATGTCTGATTAGATCAGGCATGTGCTTTTACTGTTTAGACCAGTTTATAATGTCGAGCATACCAGTTTATAATGTCGAGCATTATAAACTATATTGAATTCAGGTTTTTTTAACGATATTCTAAGTTTTAATTTATAAAAAAGAAAACAAAAACGATAGATAATCTTTAAGAAGAGTTTTCTAGGTCATAGTATTTAGAATATGTGTATATATATGTTAAAGAAATTAATATAGTTTAGAACCGTAAAATAAGGAGTTTGTCTTTAGTTACACAAATCAATGCCAAGTCATAATTTTGACACAACCACTGTTGTTATAGAACATTAATATTCAGGTCTTCATACAGTTAAGCACAATACAAATTGTAATCTCTGAACTATTTTGTTTATGATAAAAAATTTCAGCCGTTTTCTATGGGATAGGCAGAGTAGTTTGAATTTTAACTAAGCTCAAATATGACATACTTGCCAAGATCTTTGACATGCCAAAGTTATGATTAAGAACAAACTCAGATGAAATTTCATTTCTTTTTCTGTATATGAACATTAAGTGAGTAGTCTTTCAAATAAGTGATAGGTTTTAAGTTGTAATGTGAAAATATAGTCTCTAGCAAATCAAATATTTGATTGGTTTCATATATGTATGTATTTCGTTCGTTTAAGAAGGATTTCGTAAAACGATTATTCGAGTATGCGCTTCTATTTTGTATTTACAAACATTAGCATATAGCCTTTAAGTTTACAAAGAAGAAACAAAGGAATTCTCTGAAACCAATTGAATAAAATCTTATATATTCATTTCTGATATAAGACATAACAAATAATAACTAAACAAATAAGTAATTAAAATATTTCTTACGCCACACTTAACGAATGAAGAATCAAACTAAATAGAGATACAATTACAAACGATTAAATAAACAATCGAACATTGATAGAATAGATAAATGGTTCACGATTTATTCTTCACTATTTATTCTTCACTATTCGTAAACTTAATATAAAAAATAATTTAACCAACTATCTATAAATTGGCGCCAAATGACGTTTAACATTAAGATTGATAATAACGTTTCTCGTGTTCATGTGTTCCTATTGTTTACGTTATAAGTCGATAAACAAGCTTGGAACCTAATGAAAAAAGAAAACAAAGTAAGGAAAGAAAGAAAGTTACGTATAATAATTGGTGAAACGGCAACGTCAACGTAACGCTTATATGAGCCGCGTCACGACAAAACCAACAAAATGGGTTTGCGACCAGCATGGATCCAGACCAGCCTGCGCATCCGCGCAGTCTGATCAATATCCGTGCTGTCCGCTATCAGTTTCTCTACTTGTAATAGAGTTGGTAAGCGAACAGCATGGATCCTGATCAGACTGCGCGGATGCGCAGGCTGGTCTGGAACCATGCTGGTCGCAAACCAACTATGTTGGTTTTGTCGTGACGCGGCTCAATTATTAACGTGCGGTTATAAGACATTAATATGTACAAAAATGCATACAAAGTATAATGTTTTCCAGATTTGGTGTTTTGCTGGTATCTGGAAATTTAATTTATCATAAATTAGCGAATATAATATATCATTCATTCCGGAACTTTCATGGACTTAAAATTTACAAAAATCAAAACTATTTATTTTCCAATTTCAAGAAATATCATAATTTGAACTCTGTAGCATCTATTATAAAAGCGGCATATTTTGAATCGTTTAAATTACCGAAATTCTCTAACATCTACCGAAATTCTTTCACTCAATGCAACATGGTTATTACGCATGCATTTGTAATATTTGGAACAAATTCATGATGTCACTGTTAAATCATAGGGAAAATACGATAACAACAATGAATTCTAAAAAAGAAACAAAAAAACCCCAAAAAACCAGCAAACATAAAACTCGAATAACAAAACACAATAAACACAAAGACAAAAAAAACCTGTCCACAATCATGACAATATATTTCCGCCCAGTAAAATATCATTAAAATATTTGATAGTTACATAGGAGATTATTTCTCTAAAATTTAGAATCACAATTACTCATATGTCGAAAATGAACATAAAGCATTTATATATTATATGTGTTCTTACCAAATGAATGAAGAAAATAACATAACAAAAATATTTCCAAGAAATGAAGCGTTGCTGGGCGACTTAAACTTAACATACTTATACTAAATTCCGCTTATTTTCTGCACGTAAAATAAAGACTGAACAATTTGCTGGTAGAAATATCGACGTCGTTTTATGAGGTATCAATTATTTATATATTTTACATTTCTATTTATTAAACTCGTCAAATATTCTTAACCACTGAAACTGTTACTGTAAAAAACGAATTTATGAACCAGTTTATGTGAAATTAATGTAGGAGAAAATTTTCAAATATGAATCCATCTGAGCACTAAAGAAATATAAATACTTTTTTATTTAGTTAGTTTGTTTGTTATGAAAAAAAACATATTAAAATGATTCATCTTGAACAGGTTCACTTTCTGATCCAATAAACGAAAGCAATTCCATAAATTTCTCTATCCTATATAATGTATGATATTGCATAACCAAATAGTTTGACCTAGACAAATTCTTGATCAGAAATTTATTTGTGAGGACTGTTGGAGCATAAAGCAAGGTCAGGCAAATACGGGGACGAAAGAGGATAAAACTGTACTGCTTTCAGAGAATTATGTATACATTGCGCCTTTGTGTGATGGCAGGCATCAAATTGACAATAGTCAAACCTATTGCGGGTCTCTGTTGTTTTGATTTTCTTTGGAGGAGAAGAAACTGCAGAATGTGGCATGTTGTATTTTCTTACTATTTATGGTCCATTTCGCAAAAGCGTGGCATTATGCAAAGAGGTTTTTAAGCTTTGTTGCCCATAGATTTTAATCTGAATATTTCTTTTTAGGCTTTCCAAAAAAGATGCACACTAAATTAGCTTTTATCTTTGCGGTTCATCCAATTTTCATTTTACAACTTGAAACAACTATTATAGTAGATGTTGCTGTTCTTGGTCATCAGTCATATGGTGCATTTTCTGTTGAAAATATCTAACAGTGATTTTGTTAAACCAACAAATAACTGTACGAAAAAAATTTTGATTTTGCTCATTTTCACAGAACAATTTTGAGCCGCGCATCGGCGCAGTCTGATCAGGATCCATGCTTGTTCGCCTATCAGCTTTCTCTACCTTGTAATAGGGTTTATAAGTGCGAACAGCATAGGATACCCTGATCAGACTGCGCGGATTGCGCAGGGCTGGTTCTGGATTATGCGGTCGCAAAAACCCCTTATGTTGGTTTTGTCATGGCGCGGCTTCATTTAATTAAAAAAATGTTCAGAATAAATCTTCAGACTATTTCAAGAGCAAAGTGGTTTTAAATTTAATTTTTTCAAAAAGAAGAATTATGATTTGCAATAGTCACATTATTAATAGATGCAGTATTAATTTCCAAACATGAATATACGAATTTTAAACAAACGAACAATCTAAACCAAAATTGGAT